CCATCGTCGTCTTCATCATCACACAAAAAACGAGCATCACTCAGCCTGCAGGAAAAGGCCGACAACGGCCAACAACCTTTTCAGGTGAGGAAATGTCTGCCAGCAACAGCAGTAACAACGCCGTATGCTGCAAAATCACCTCGTCGCCTGCTCGAACTCAATTCCAAAAGGCCATTTCCAACGCCGAAGATAGGCAACCCACATTTCACCCCCAACGTACCAAAATGCCCAGTAACTCGCGTTCCCATGACGCTAATGCAGGCCAACTGTGCCCTACCGTCTGCCACGACTGAACAATTCTACTCCCCGTCGAATGTCACGAGGGTGGTTCGATCCCCTATGAAGGTGGTCAAGAGATTGCACGAGGCCACATCACCCAGACATTCTGATGCCGGCAAAAACAATAAGAACAACAACAACAACAATATTAATAATAAAGGAGACAACAACAAACAGGATGATGATAATAATAGCACCAACGTTGTTGTGAGTGCAGCCAGCAGCAGCAGAAAGATTTGTGATTCCATCAGTGTAAATACCCTTAAGAAGAAGTCGCCGTTGAAAGTTATCACGGATAATAATGGGGGCGGTGGAGGCCCCGAAACCACCGTCGTACCCATTGATCTGGATCTGTAATTTGCAATTTGTACATTCCCCCTTCTGTAGAGTTCTTGTTTTTAAAATGATGTTCATACGTAAATTATGATACCTATTGTTTGTTGTAATATTAATAATAACGATACTACCTGGTTGATTGGTTAATTGATTGCACGGTTGATAGATCTGTTAATTGGTTTGTTACACGTTTGATTGATTGATTGAATGATCGATTGATTGTTAGATTGTTTGATATAGACCGATATTTATTTTTGTTTTCTTAAATTAAATGCTGATGTTACTCTCTTAGATACAAATTTATATATCTTGATATAAAAAGTTTTATACATGTGCGAGTTTGTTTGTTCGTGTGTGTGTGCGTGTCTATTTTATTTTTTATCAGTTTTAACCCATTCATATGTAATTGAATTTTATCCCATTTTGGCTTTCATACCTCTATTTGGCTATTGCTTTTACTAACATAATACAATAGTAATATTACTTAAACCAATTCTGACGGTTTATATGTTAGTAACATTTTGAAAAGTACTGACTATACTCGCTTTTGTTTTATTTCTTTTCTTCATAATGTAACGCCGAAATGTGTGTGTGTGTGTGTGTGTGTGTGCGTGTGTGTGTGTGGTGTTGTAAGTTCTCCTCTGGTAGATGTATGTAGCGATCAGTAAAGAATCATAGTCATATATGTGTGTATGTATATGTATATATATTTTATTTTTCAATATTTTCAATCATGCGATCTCTGCCATCATGTGATCTTTCAGAATTTACTTCTCTATAATGTTTCATATTCATTTGTGTGTTTGTGTGTGCTTGTTTGTTTGTGCGTGTGTGAGTTTTGTATGTGTGTGTGTTTATGTGGTGTTTGTTTGTTTGTATGTATGTTTGTTTGTTCGTTTGTTTGCATAACTCTATGTGAGCGTATGTTTCATATTCAGTTGTATGTTTGTGTGTTTTTGTTTGTGTGTGAGTTTTGTTTGTGTATATGTGTGTATGTACGTGTGTTTTTGTGGTGTTTGTATGTATGTTTGTTCGTTCGTTCGTTCGTTCGTTTGTTTGTTTGTTTGCATAACTCTATGTGGGCGTATGTATGGCATTTAAATACCAAATACCCATTAATCATTCCCTTCTTTCATTCATCTCTCTGCCAATCCATCTATGCATGAATAAAGTAATAAATTATGTCGTTTGCTGTTATATTTATTTATTATTATTAAAATTAATGTCATAATATTAGAAGATAATAAATTATATAAATATTAATACTAGAGAGAAAGAGAGAGAGAGAGAGAGCGAAGGAAGAGATTCAAAGGTAGGAGGCGTGTTTGCTTAATAGGCGTCCAACTGGATTCCATATAATATGGATGGGCATTTGATAGGAACGCTACGGATTAACGATGCCATCATCAGGCTGCAAGTATGTTGGTGGGTGACATAAGGGGTGACCTTTTCTTTTTTTGTCTCTCTCTCTCTCTCTCTCTCTCTCTCTCTCTCTCTCTCTCTCTCTCTCTCTCTGTTTGCTTCTAACATTCTACGAAATAGAATAATTTTGCTTGGGATGTTTGTTATACAAACAAACAAACATTTAGACGCCCACAGGAAAGTACATGCATATATATACACACACACTCATACATATGCACACGTACACACATACAGTGCACATGCGCTGTAATTATATTGCCAAAAGCAATGAAATGTCGATATTTTATTTGGGTTGGTGCAATAATGAATATCGTCGAGTGTTTCGCTGTAGATACGCCACACATCAAATAACGGTCATGCACATACATTCATACACATACATACACATTCACAAACAACCAACAAACGAACTTACACACGTGCATGAATAAAAACACTTGCACATATCCGCAATCACTTGAATTGAAGTCATTTGGACATAACATAAGCCGAAAACATCCTATCACTAATAAATGTTTATCGCTGATATACATACAATACAACTGAATTACACGTATAAACATACATACGCACACACACGCACGCACACATACAACAAACACACCCATGTGTCGGTAATTTAGTTACATGCCATATAAGGTTAGATTCACTCAGTGGAATTCATTGAAGTGAAGTATTTGAAGGAATAGCTCATTTTTTCCATTCCAAATTTATTGGTTGCTAGTGATTACGTAATGACGCAAATTTTTTCAAGTCATTGCTAATTTCGCTATAGCTCAACTCCTGTGCTGAAATTTCATTGTAGAGTTTACCATAATTAACAAATAAGTAATTAAAAATTATAAGTTTCACTTTGATCATTTAATTTTAATATTTTTGAAAGAGGACGGAGAGAGAGAGAGAGAGAAAAAGTAATAACAAGAGAGACAAACGTGGAAGAGAAAGAGAGGAAGAGAGAGAGTGATTAGAAACAGGAGAGTATAAAACAAAACACGGAATAAACCAACGGTTGCATATAATTTTATTCATGCCACATTAGCGAACGTTCATGATGACGATGATTTATTATTGTTATAATTTTTATTATTTGTATTATTATTATTGTTATTGATATTATTATTATTATTATTTAGCAAAGTCGCAACAATAAAAGAAACATACAATAGAATTAATGCTACAAATATCGAGACGAGGTCATTTAGGAAAAATAATTTCAATTAATCAATTAATAAGTTAATTAATTAATTTAAAAATAAGTATATTTTAATAGCGAGATATGAATGTGTAATTAATTTCCAATAGCTTTTTTGCTGCTAGTTCAGTGAAAATATAAACATTGCAAATAATAGTAAATTAAAGACGCTGGGATAAAATATTGTTGAAGTTTTATCAAATGAAAATATTGATCTTTTCGCTATATCTACGTAAATATTTAAAGGTATTTGGGTAATGGTGGTATTGTACTTGTACTATGTATCTGCTTATGTACGTTCGTATTTAGACTGTATGTCAATGTTTACGTAATTGTACATATGCAAAAGTGTTGTGTATGTGTATCTGTATGTGTATATAATCATGTGTATTTCTTGTATGTGTGTAAATTATTGTATATATTTGTATATATGTATGTGATGTTAATTGATGTTAGATATATGTAAGCATATATTTGTGCAAGTTTGTCTGTATATATATATATATATATATATATATATATATATATATATATATATATATATATGTACAAAATTGTTTGTGTACATATCTACGTATTTACGATACACAACGACCCAATTTATGCTCCGTTGTAAGTGGTTTGATGATATCAAATGATCAAAGTGATATAAAACAGATACCAAAAAGATTAGATAGATATCTCTAACGACATCAAATGATAATAATCTGTATAACAATTTTTATTTTTGTATCAACTCGTATCGTTTAAAAATATCGTCATCGTCATCATCATCAGCAGCAGCAGCATCATCAGCATCATCATCAGCATCATCATCATCATCATCAGTAATGACGTTGTCGTCAGCATCACGGTTTGTGTTGTTAATATAATTAAAAATATCCAAAATTTAAAGTACAAAAGAATGACATCTAAATAATAGTTAGCATTGTAGATTAGAGATATGAATGATTTTAGAGTGCTAATTTTGTTAAATAAAGAATGATATATATATATAAATATATACCTATAATTAATGGCATATAATTCATAATTGTAATTAAGTATGTAGAGAAGAGATATGGATAATTTTAGAGGGTTAACCTTATCAAAATTGAAAAAGACTTGTTCACGTACATATAAATCTGGTTGCGTAATATGAAATGATAAAAAAAATTAACTAAAAAAGAAACAACAAAACTCTGCTACATGATAACTACCTCTACTACGAAGTGTTTTTTCAAATGTTTTTGTTATTTAAAAATAAAACGAATAAATGAATGTTTGATATATGTAAGAAATGAAAAATAATTTGAGAAAATCATCAGCTATATATATATATATATATTATATATATATATATATATGTGTGTGTGTGTGTGTGTGTGTGTGTTTGTGTATAGACACAAGCAAAATAAAAATAGTCCATCTCAACTCTATACCGACAGTTTGAATCGAATATAATCGATTAAAACTGATAAAAGTCGATAAACATTCTCCTCAAAGAGCAAATATATTTGTATTTCGCACGCACATTTCTCCATAATATCGAGTTTTGTTCGCCTACGTGTATAACATATCGCCAGTTCTTTACCTTTAATTTTGTACAGTTATAATTCACAATTTGTACTAAACACATTTGCTTCAATTGTTTTTCTGATTTATTTTATATCTTAATTTATCATTTAAAATACCGTTTATCTATTCTTTATTTCAAATCAAAAATAATGAAATAGAAATAAGTAAAAAAGTGGAACTTTTTGACAATTTTGTGAAAAAAAATTGTTTTTTAAGCCTTGGCCGGTTGCTGGTAGCGCTCGAAGTACTTGTAGGTTGGATTCTCGTAACCATTGACCTGCATGCTGGCAACGTGTTGTTCTTCCGGACTGACATTCAGAGCATCTGCATGAGCAGGGAGTTGGGAACAATTTTTAAAAAGGGATTAATCTATTTTCGATATTTCATTTCATTTTTAATATTCGCTCCAAGTGCGTTTAGTTTTGGTCAACTGTTTGAATTTTGATACAAATTTTAAAAGAGATATCTTTCTCAGTTATGAGTGAGTTGAAGTTTTCATACGATTGACCATAAACTTGTACATCTATGGCGCTCACAACAGTTAGGTTAACTCTAAACACCACATCTTAAAATTCAAATACCAGCGTTTCAAACAGTTCGGACTTTAAAATATTAACATAATCACAAAAAATAAAATAATTAACGAGGGAAAGATGGCATGAGGTCACATGTTCCGTATGACGTCATATGTTCCGGGTCATCATGTCTATTAGAGGATGACCTATCAGCATTTAACAGACCGTCCCCGTGTGAGATACTATACTACCATAATAGCAGAAACTTCCTACTAAACTCATGAAATAAACTCTACCTCGAGAATTACGCAATCATAAAAACAATTAGGAAGATGAGAAAAATAATAACGACGACAAACTATGGACAAAAAAACAATAAAACTCAGACAACAACAACAACAACAACACAGCCCAAAAACACAACGTAACAAAACTCAACCATTTTCTGCTCTCTCCCCTTCCATCCTGCCGTTGTTGCTATAGAAGCCGTTGCCACGGCGACGCATGATGAGGACGCCAACGACGATGACAATGGCCACTGTGAGGGTACCCACGGCCACCCCTAGAGGAATGGCGGCCCCGAAGTTCGGGTTGTAGCCAGATCTTTTCGAGCCAAATATGTTTTGCTGTGGTTAATTGGTTGGTTGGTCGGTTGGTTGGTTGGTTTGCCGGTCGGTTGGATGGTTAGTTGGTTGGTTAGTTGTTAGTGAGTTAATAGGTTTTTACAACTCAAATGAATTAATAAATAATTATAATAAATATAATTTTTTTTTTGTAACGTGAGATAAGTTTTTACCCCTCCAAAAATTTAAAAAATTACTACATTTACTCTTTATATATCTACTCCAAACGTTATCGCTCCAAATCCTCATTATCGCCATCATCACCACCACCATCGTCATCATCATCAACATTATCTTCATCATCGTCATCATCGTCATCATCATCATAACCACCTGTTCGACGCCAATAGTATCCTTCTTCAAATAATCAGCTCCGAGCCCCTGGTTGTACTCTCTCTCAATCGATGCATCTTCACCATCATCGTCGTCATCATCATCGTCGCCATCAACGCTATCATCATCATCAGCATCATCACTCGCCGCACTCTTGCCTTCGTCATTGTGCATCACGCTATCACTGACGATATCGTCCAGTATTTGATTGATGTCAGAAGCTGCAGCCCATCTTGTAGTCGGGCCGGTTGTGGTGGTGGTGGTGGTGGTAGTAACCACTTGGTCGACGGGTTTTTGTTTTAAGGGGTCCGCGCTGAATGGTGGATTTGTGGCTGGGCCCTCGTCTAGATCCACTTTTTTGAATCCATTTTCTGAGTCACTGTCGTCACTATCGAAGCTTTTATCTTTGCTCTTCGAATCCTCACTGTCCGAAGAGTCTGACTCCTCGTTGTCTCTTCTGCGAGGTTCGTCACTCATCATCATCATTTTATCATCATCATCGTCTTCTTCATCATCATCCTTGCTTTTCTTATCTTTGCTGGGATTCTCATCGTCCTCGTTGCTCTCTTCATCAGTGATATCTCTATTTGATAACTTGCTATCATCGTCGTCATCATCTGATAATGAATCATCATCATCATTATCATCATCATCTTTGACATCTCCTTCATCGTCGTCATCATCTGATAATGAATCATCATCATTATCGTCATCACCATCATCTTTGACATCATCTTCTTCTTCATCGTCGTCGTCATCATTTTCCGCCTCGTCGTAATCATCCTCCTCCTCATCTTCATCATCATCATCGTCATCCCTCTTGTTACTTTCGAAATCTTCATCGTCTTCTTCATCATCATCTTCTTCACTCTGATCATCATCATCATCATTATCGTCATCATCGTCGTCGTCGTCTTCGTCATCACCCTTCTTGTCGGCCAATTTTTCTTTATTAATGTTTCCATTCATGTTCTCAACACTAATTTTTCTGATTTCTTTAACGTCCACAGACAGGAAGGCCTTGCTGACTGAGTCTGAAATTTAATTAAATTAATTTAATTTAATTGACGTTAATTTAATTGACTTTAATTTAATTATTTCATTTTAATAATTTAACTAATTTAATTTATTTTAACTAATTTCAATGTAATTATTTTATTTGATTTTCATTAATTATTAGAATTATTTAGTATTCTCCATTCACGCACATAAACGTACACATACGTTAACATGCACACACAAACAAGTAGACACACATACTCACACACACGCACACTCACACACACATACTCACACATACACCCACACACACTCACACATACAAACACACCCAAACAACACTAGCCTATATCGTCGAGAATAAACTCCTTTAGACTGGAGACCTTGTCTAGTAGAGCAACCGCCTCGTGCAACTGATTGTTCTGCGACACGAGAGACACTGAGGCCTGGATAGCGGCTTGCTTGGTCAGTGATGGGTCATCTTTCACCTGCTGTTTGTAACCGTTGAGTGTCTGCAACCTCTCCTTGTGTAGAAGTTTGATGTAGTGTTGCAGGGTCTTTGCTATGTCTTTGCGCTAGTTGGGTCGGGTGTTGTTGTTGGTTGTTGTTGTTGGTTGTTGTTAGTTGTTGTTGGTTGGTTGTTGTTGCTGGTTGTTGTATCATGAATGTAAGGCTCAATTTTTAAAAGTTATTTGTTCCTATAATTTTCATCGCCATTTGATATTAAATCATCGTCATCCTCATCTGATATCGAATCGTCACCATCATCATCATCATCAGAAGAAGAAGAAGAAGAAAAAGAAGATAATGATGATGATCAAAGAGAAAAAAAAAAGAAGAAAAAGAAGAAGAAAAGAAGAAGACAACAACACAAACAGTGCAGGAGACAAATCTATTTCACCATCAACAACAACAGCACAACAGCAGCAGCAGCAACAACAACAACAACGACGACGACGACGAATGCGACGACAACCTTAGGTTTGGGATCGTTGATGGCTTGGAGGAGCTTGCTGTAGACGCCCTGTTTCTGCTGATTGAGTAGCGCCTGGACACGTATGCGGTGAGTGTCCTTCAGTAGCTTCCTCTCTTGCTCGTTCTCTATCTCCTCTGCCTCGTACAATCTCTGGTATCTCTGTGATTGAGAAAGTGAATGAAGGGATGAATTAATGAATGGATGGATAGATGGATGGATGGATGGATGGATGGATGAATGGATGAATAAATGGATGGATGAATGAATGAATGGATGGATGGATGAATGAATGAGTAAATGAACAAACGAACGAACGAATGAATGAACGAATGAATGAATGAATGAATGAATGAATGAATGAATGAATGAATGAATGAATGAACGAACGAATGAATGAACGAACGAATGAATGAATGATAGAATGAATGAATGAATAAACGAGTGAATGAAAATCAACCGGATTTATAAACATACACACAAAAAAGGAAATAACATAAAAAAAACCTCAAAAAAACCCAGAACATTAAAACAACAACAACAATAATAATAACAACAACAAAAACAACAACAACAACAACAACAACAATAATAATAATAATAATAGTAACAGCAACACCAAAGACACAAAATTCAAACATGTGAATGTTAATTTTATTACCGGAAGTGGCGATAAAAGGACAAATGACTGAATGAAGGAGTCCCATGAAATGTTAATAATACGGACTGCATAATCATCAATACAATGGCGATCGGATTTATGTGTCGTCATCGTTGTCACGTGATCGTCCTCGTCATTACGTCATCACCATTGTTATCATTGTCAACGTCATTATATTAATGCAACATTGGTGTTGTTATTGTCATCAGTGATATTAATAATAATGAAGATGACGACGACGATGATGACAATGACGACGATGATGATAATGATGATTATGATGATGATGATGATGATGATGATGATGACTAACGTTGGTGATGACTTCTTTCATCTTTTTTCCATCCTTCTTGCTCTTCGACTCCAAGCTATCTGCTCTCCTCCTCGCCGCGTTCCATTCTTCCATCAACTAGTCATCATGATGATGATGATGAGAATGAATTCGGTGATGATAATGATGGTGTCAATGATGATGATAATGATGATGATGGTTATGATGGTGATAATGATGATGATGAAGACGACAAGGACGACAATCAAAACGCGCGCAAACAAAGAGGACGATGATGATGACGATGGTAGAAAAAAAATACTCCGAAAGTAAATAGAGAAATAACTGGTGGGCAAACAAAATAGAAAAAATTCCCAGAGAACAAAATGAATAAACATAAATCAATACAGTGGCATAAATAATCAAGTGCTCAATAATGCATGGAACAACGCAACGTAGATACAGACACACACACAAACACACACACACAAACATAAAAACACATACAAATACATACAAACACACGCATCTAGACATATATACATGTAGTTTTGACGGGGTTTGCACTAACGAAAAAAATTTCGTTCCGAAATGTACCCGAACACAAGTGCATATCATTACACGCATATATACATATGTGCATGTTTGTATTTTGCATGCATGTTTGTATGTATGTTTACATGTTTGGATATCAATCCACTTTTTAAATATTGAAACTCCAGAAAAACATTACTTTTTATATAGCCGCGAATGTATGTACGTAAAATTTCAGTGCGCAAAAAATACACATGTTAAATAACCCCAACAGCACAATTATACAACAAACACACACAGGCACACACACATACAGATGCACGCACACACAGACATATGTAGACAGACATGAATAGAGAAAAAACATTATTAATGTTGGACTTGTGTGACCACAGAGCACGTTTTCAAGCTCTCAATTACAAATATAAACATGAATATGAACATGTCAGTGCCGTTATTAAATAATATTATGTAAGATTTGCTCTGAGAGGTGCTTGCTAGTGTGTATGTACGTACAACCTGGAGGCTCGTATCTTTTGATATTAGCACAAACAAACCCATTTTTGAAGAGTTCTATAAGGTTCTAAACAAACCCATTCAATCCCAAAACACAAAATTTTCAGGGTTTAATTTTTTTAATTAAGTAACGTAAAAATTTGTTTGAGGCTACTCATCAAAAAATTACATCTTTTCAGTTTTCTGTAAAAATATGAAATAAAAATTTTCAAGAAATACCATCTCAGCAAGACGCTTGAAGCAAATGACGGACATTCAGCTAGAACAAAAAATTTAAGAATCCAAGAATCAGGAGCCAGAGATGCCTGTGCATATGAATGAAAAGAATAGGATAGACAAGTTATGTGTACTCTGCGTATCTCAGTATAAACGTACGTATCTACGTGTATGTACAACACAACATACAAATGCTTATGCTTGTATATACGCATTTTGTACACTTACAGACGTTTTGTGTATATTGGGTGTTTTGCGGCATTTATCAAAATGTGTACTCATGGATTATTTATACATATTAAATGAGGATGCCTATATTATGTGCGTGTGTGTGTGCGTGCGTGTGTATGTGTGCGTGTGGCAGTCATTTGTTATAATTTCCCCATGCATAATGTATGTGACATGTCTCAAACTAATGCCTCAAGATTGTTTTATTGTTATATGAGTTCGCTAGTACGAAACTTAAACATTGTAAAATAGAGAAAAGCTATTTGATGTTGTAAATTGTAAAAGAATGGATGAATGAATGAATGGATGAATGGATGGATGAATGAATGGATGAATGGTGAAGAAAATTTAAGAAATGTTTAAAAGCAACAGGCATGAGTTATACACATGATGTCTCCATAGTATTTTGAATGCCAGTTTTTAAAATAAAAAACAAATTTGTGTTTGTTTGAATGTGTGTGTTTGTGCGTGTACATATTTGTGTGCGTGTACATATTTGTGTGCGTATGTATGTGTGCCTGTGTACATATTTGTACGTTAAAAGCTGTCTGACACTTTGTGTACTATTGATTGTATGTACAGATGATGTTTTCTTAATACAAAACTTTTTGCGAGAGTTTCCATACTACATTTAGACATGTTATACTGATGATTTGAGGACCTGAAAAGCTATTTAAATATAATAGGGCGAAACAATGAACATGCGTCCGAACGAAATATAAACAAAATAGGCACAAAATCACCTGATCGTTCAAACACATAAACAAAACAAAAACAAACACGTGACCGTATAAACAAAAAATCACGTGATCGTACAAACACATAAACAAAAACATACACACCCATCACACACACACACACACACACACACACAAACACACACACACACACAC